TCTCAAATACCTTAGCAGTGTTTCAGCCTGCAAAACCAAACAATTAGGCATTAAAATTCATGCTGCCCGTGAAACATCATCACAAGGAAATTATAGGTAATTTTTATACATATAGTTAGCCAATGGATACGAACATAGATGTCCACAGTCTTTATTGTTCATCTCCGGACAACCTCCATGACGTCTGCTTGGCCGTCTTATTAGACAATAGAATATGAAAAAATCTGATAAAAATTCTAATTCAACGTTGAAATAAACGATATCAAATTACCCCTATTATTAAATTTTTACTCAAAATTAATAAATTTTTTGATTGACGTTGGAGATTCTATTACCTCCCAAAAAAATTAATAAAATAATAAATAAAAAAAAGTAGTGTGAAATTTCACTAAACTGACCTTGTGCTTGGCTTTTGCAGTACCAGTTTGACCAAGCGTTGCCAATGGAGGAATCCTACCTTCCCTGACAAGCAAACCCCTATTCCTTACACTCTCACCACACAATTGCAACAGCGTCATCATCGCGAACTCCTTCCCTTTCGGCGACCCATCCTCGATCACCTCCACCAACGTCGCAATCCCCCCTTCCTCCACAATCGCCTCATTTCCTTCCGCCATCGCCACCGCCACTGCCACCAAGCTACTCATTACCACCATCGCCTTCTCCGCCATCTACTCCCCCGCTACCAGCCCCACCACCGCCTTCACCGCCCCTCTCCTTGTTCACCTTCACCGTACACAGCTTGTACATCGTCGTCATCGCGTCCTTCTTCCCCCTATTCGATCCATTCATCAACAACGTTATCAATGGCGGAATCGCTCCGCAAGCTCCGATCGAAATCTTGTTCTCGTTGATCGACGACAAGTTTAGCAACGCACATGCCGCTTTGAATCTTCGAAATCGCTTTGAAATCGCTCTGAAGAGCCGATTGATATCGATCTGAATCTTCGAAATCGCTTTGAACAGCCGATGGAGCTTGTGTTCTTTGAAGCTCTCTTCAAGAACAGCCGATTGATCTTTTGAGAGACGAAGCTTCTTCCGAGAGTACTCTCCTTCGTCTTCTTCATCGCTGAGAAAGAGAGAGAGAGAGAGAGAGAGAGAGATGTGTGCGTACAAGATAAGAGAGATGTGTGGGTATAAGAGAGAGAGAGAAAAGGCTCAGATTCAAGAATAAGGGTTTCAAAAAGGGGCGCGTGTATGCATTCAGAGGCGTTTCTAAACGCCTTCAATTACAAAACAGTGCCGTTTCGGTTAAAAAAATATACGGCGATTATAAAACATCATTAAAAATTAAAAAACGTGACGTTTAATAAAACGTCGTTAATTAAATGCCGTTAAATCTCTAATTTCCTGCAGTGGATGTGATTTTCATGGTGTGTATTTTGTGGCATGTGATTTTGTTGGATATGGAATTTTGTTGTAATCTATGTGGAACAAGGCGATAAACATAAAATCCCACACAATAAATATATTAAAATTACTTTACCAAAATTAGTAGGATTAATCGGTTTGTATGAAATAAAAAAATGATTAAATGGTTCATAATTCTTTCAAAAGAGATTTACTGGTAAATTTTCTTTTTTATATTCTTATGTATTTATTGATTTTTAATTATTTATTTATTTATAAATATTTAACTTTTTAGGTAGATCTAGGTTAGGTATATCTAAAAAGTAAAAAATTTGCTTAAAATCTTAAAAAAATTCACTAAAAAAAAAAACACGAAAAATAAAAATTCAATTTTCAAAAAATTTAAACCAAACAAAGTTGTCATTCTAATAAGAGAAAATCTACTGTCCTAATATACCTACCCAAAATTTTCTAAGCAGTGTGTTATGTGGTAAAAATTGAATTGATTTAAGTGTGAGGTTTACATATAAATAAATTTAAGCCATAGATTAATGTTTCTGGATAAAATTAAGAGTAAAATTGTTGAGTTTGTTGCATTGTTGTTATAATAAATGTGAAAAGTTCAAGTATGGATTAGTTTAAGAACTCAAAATTTGACAGCCATAACAAAATTAGAGGGTTGAGATTGCAATGCGGAGTCAATCTCAATTAAATCTGAACTATATATTAATATTTATAAATAAAACAAAATTCCTCGAATTTAGTACATTTTTAAAGTATTATTTGGCTACGATGATTTATATCTTTCTTTTGAAAGCAACAATTGCAGCAAAATTATCCCTCAAAAGAAAAAACTAAAATATACTGATAACTTCACTAAAAATATTGTTTAGCAGACTGAAGTGAAGTAATTAGGGACAATGAAGGCCCTCAAATGCTGTGAAACCCAAAAATAATGGAAACTTTTTACCATTCAGGAGAGCTAATTAGGGTATAAAAGCATGAAAGTTTTGCTCTGTGTATATGTAACTAAAAGAAATTGTGTAAATACCTTTATTCTCCCTTTACTGTCTCAAATGTGAACCACTTACGCAAAAAGGAGAGGGAAAATGAGCACTGTAATATTGTGTTTGGTTCGGAGATTTGGAGAGGGATTTAGAAAAGGAAAGGAAAAATGTGTGTGAAACTAGGTGAAATATATGTATGTTTTATTCACATTTCACCTACTTTTTCCATTTCCCTTTCCAAATCCCTCCTCAAATCCTCCAACCAAACACAGCATAATTGTTTGCGTCTCCCAATGAAAAAACCCTCACTAATCCCCCATTAGCCGCCGGATTAATGTCCCTTTAGTAGCATTAGTGATTTTTTTTTTAGGGCAAATTACATATACACCCCTCGAGGTTTGGCTAAATTACAGATACCCCCTGAGGTTTCAGAAATTACATCCCGCCCCCTGAGGTTTGTATTTTTATAACAATTTGCCCCCTGAGGTTTATATTTCATAACAAATTACCCTCTAATTTCTTATGCAAATATAGCATTCAGGGGGAAATTCGTAATTTCTCAAACCTCAGGGGGACATTTGTAATTTAGCCAAACCTCGAGGGGTGTATATGTAATTTGTCCTTTTTTTTATCACTAGAACACATAAAAGACATTGTTTCTTGTAGGAATGATAAATTAATTAAATAGTTCAAACTTGAATAGTATTTACTTTGCTTGGTTCTATTTTTCTAAAAATACTTTTTAAAAAATTTTATTTTTTATTTTTTATATTTTTTTTATTTTTACTGATTTTTTTTTTATATTTTAAAAACAATTTTTTTTTTTTACTTTTTAGACATATCTAACAAAAATATACCTAAAAAGTAAAAAATTTACGAAAAAAACCTTTTAAAAATTCACCATATACCAAAAATACAAAAAAAATATATCAAAATTCAGTACATTTTTTTATATTTTTATGTATTTATTAATTTTTAAAATATTTTTTCACAATTTTTTTACTTTTTTGATAGATCTAAGTAAGGTACATCAAAAAAGTAAAAAAAATGTTTAAAATTTTAAAAAATTCACTAAAAACAAAAAAAATGAAAACAAAAAAACTCAATTTTCAAAAAATTTAATCCAAAAAATACAAACCAAACACACTAATTGATTTGTTAAAAACTTGCGCAAGCTCTGTTTATTAGCGTTTGGTAGCACATACGTTTTTGGTTTATATTTACAAAATTTTTATAAATTAGTTTTTGTTTATTTTTAGAAAAAAACATAAATTAAAAATGCGTTTGGTTTGAACAAAATGTTTGAAATTTTTTAAAAACATAAACTAAAAAATATGTTTGTTCAAGCCTAAAATATTTATATTTATTATTTTATTATTTATAACAATGGGATTATACACATTATAATTGAAAAAAAAATTTAATTGGAAAAAAAAATTAATTGAAAAAAAATTAAAAAAAATTATTTGAAAACAAAATTAATTGAAAAAAAAACATTAATTGAAAAAATAGTAATTTTAAAAAAATTAATTGAAAAAAAAAATTTTGTTAGTCAAAATTTTAAATTTTTGTTTAAAACCAACGTAAACTCATTTTTTGAGTTTACGTTTTTTCCTTAAATTTATAAATTGAGACAACCATTATAAACCAAAAAAATTATCAAATAGGTTTTTGTGACAGGTTTTTAAATTTTTGTAAATACAAATTGAAAATTGAAAACGAAATGATTACCAAACAAACCCACAAATAAGTTAATTTTAAATACATTTTGAAATTCATTAAAGTTTTCAAACTAAACTTAAATAATTAATTGTTTGTTTAACTTGATTCCACAAGTCTAAAATTATACAAAAATATTAAATTATTTGAGATCAACTTGACAAAAACTTGTTTAAGATCAACTTGAAAATTTAACAAATCAAACTTAAACAAATTTTAAAATTCTTTATAGTTTTTAAGTTTGAACAGTTAACTATTCGGTTTCTTCACTATTTTTAAACAAAGAACAAGTTACAAGAATAAAATTAAAATTTTTACTCAAATTTAAAATAAAATTAGATAAAAAAATTGATAACAGGTATTTTCTTTTAATGGATAAATTGATTACAAATTAGAAATGATAAAAAAATATATATATAAAAAAAGTTAGCATGAGACTAGAGTTTTAACATCCCATTTTTATTATTGCTTCCTTGCATATTGGGTCCTAGCCTCATCAATTTGATTTGATACTATCCGCTCCTTGCCATTCCACATGTTTTGAGAAAATAGTTAAAAAAATTTTTTTTTTTGACTTTTTTTTAATTTTTTTGTAAGAGAAAAAAAAGGATTAAAAAGGTAGGAGGGGCCTTTTAATCCACTCTCCAAAATAAGCGTATATAGTGAGATCTCTCTCTATCTCTCTTATGTTCTTTTTCCTTTTACCAATGAATAAAAATAATTGAATATCTAATTTATTATTTGTAAAAATTATTTTTAATGATATATCTGATAAATATTAAATTTTAATTTATTAAATATTTTATTATGTGAGATTTAATTTTATCAAATCATTAAAAAAAATTTAAAAATAATAAATTAAAAAATGTAGCATTATTGTTATCATGATCCACTGTTACAATGATTATAAATTATGACAAAGAAAGAAAACAGAGACCCTTACCTGAGTACAAGAAGTGAGGAGTGAGAGAAACAGTCCTCACTCTCTTCTCCACTCATCAAGCCATATTCAAAGCCTAATTTACTTTCATTAACACTCTCATCTTCTCAATCATGCACCAGAGCAAAGCAACCCTTAGCTCCATTAAACAACAACAAAACTAGTACATTGTACTAGAGAGAGTGAGTGTTCTGCTTCTTGACCCCCAAAAAATGCTGCACACAAGCTGCATTTTCTTGATCTGTCTCCTGAGCTCATTTTCTCCACTTGGCACTGCAATGCTCAACCTAACTCTGCCTGGTCAGCACCCAAACCCTGATTCTGTTGTCCAAGATGTCCAGAGGTATGAAAACTTTTCCCTCTTTTAACCTCTGTTTTCTCTCACTTCTCAGTTGCTCTGTTTCTTGTTTCTCAAATTGTTCCACACTTTGTTCTGCTCTGTTTCTTGATTCTCAAATTGTTCTTGAGTTTCTTAAACTGAGCTGCATTTCAGGTTCTTTTTCTACACAACCATTTTCACTATGTTGAAATTTTATTTATTTATTTTTAATTTATTCTGAGTTTTTCTTTTTTCTTTTCAAGGCTTTTGTGGGTTTAAAATTTTCTTATCCTCTGTTTTGTTTAATTTTTTTAAGGACAAATTATGCTAGGTGGTCCCTGAATTTTTCACATTGTTTCAATGCTGCTCCAATTGATAATGTTGATTTTAGACAAACAATTAAAGGTAAAATGATTTATTTAAAAAAATAAATTATTTTACTTTTTAATTTTTATTTAATTTTAAAAAAATTATTAATTGAACTAAATTAATATAATGTGAAAACCCCAAACAAAATTGATGCAATTATAGTCATCAACAATGATTCATCCCACTAAAAATACCACCACTAATAGCACTAATGCATTAAAAAAGTAAAAAAAAAAAAAAATACAACTCCAAGACCAAAACATCACATCATTAATGACGGGACCCACTGTCACCTAATTAGTGGGAGCACTAATTAATACTCCCAAGTATTTTTCTTATAGTCATAAAGATAAAAAATAAAATAAAATTGTAACACTCATATTTGTTAATAATTATAGCGATGAGATTATAGAAACTTTATAATATCCAAATATTATCATTAATAAAATTGTAACACTCATATTTGTTAATAATTATAGCGATGAGATTATAGAAACTTTATAATATCCAAATATTATCATTATATATAGCATTATTCATCTCAATTTCAATTCTTTCTTTTGTTTTCTTTTTGTTTTTTTGTTTTATTTTTTTATGCTTTAGTGGTTGCCCAAACAGTCAACACTTGAAATTTGAGGTCCCTGGTCACAGCATCCAATGCATGTCTTTTCTGCTTTTTCCTTTTATTCTGTTACTGCTGCCTCTTTTAATACTTTTGTAGAAGTTAGATACGTATTTATATACTTCTTAAATACATTCGTATAATAAATTTAATACATAAATGATACAGAATATCAAAACCAGTGCAAGTCTGGTGTGTGACTTTATGTCACCAATGGGATTAGTTTCTTTCGTGCCACTGTCTTTTATATTTTTTTATATTTTATTTTATGTGTTCCATTTCAACTTTGTACTGATAATCCAAATCATTCATCTCATATGTTTCGTAGTAAATATATCAATTCTATTAGAATCGATAAATAGATTAACAAATCACTTTTTATTTTTGCCTTTTATATTTTTTTGTACTTTATTTTATGGGTTACATTCCAAGTTTGTAATGATAATCTGAACTATTTATTCCATAAGTTTCATAATAAAGATAGTTTATGAAAAAAAATCAATTCTATGGGATATCAATAAATAGATGAACAAATAACATTTTATATTTGCTTATATGTTGAGTGATATATGATACAACTAATTTTTTAAACAGCTCATCTTTATTGCTAGGTTTATAATATAAACAGTTTGAAATGGACTCAAGATAGAGCCAATGATTTTTGGGAAGAGCTAAAAACGTCTACTTTTGGCTTTTTATCCATTGTGAGTCACATCACCTCTCACATTTTTTACTCACAAAAAGACAAAATACACTAAAAAAGTCAAAAAATTAACTTTTTATCAATTTTGTAAAACACTCAAGAAAATAAAAGAATATGGATAATAGTAGTATGGATGGAGCTATTCACCCAAATAACACCATTTGTCAAAAAGAATTTTAATAACAACTCTTGTACATAATTGTACCATCTTTGTGGTCATTTTCTTTTTGGGGGAATTATTTGTTAGTGGGATAAGAAAAAAATTGTCAAAACATGAAAGATGCAAGTTGTCCTATAATGAGGTATAAGTGAAAATCTGTGGAGATATAGTCTCATTTGCACTCTTCTATGTTTGTGTATATGTATTTTTTTATATTTCATTGTAAAGTAATTCCCTCTTTCTTTTAAATTAGAATACTAAATATTGCGGTATATATATTAGTATTGAGTGTAAATACTAAATTTAACAATTTATGGGTCAAATTTGCAAACTAGTACGGTATTTATTGAAATATTATGAACATTCTTGAAGAAAAAGGGGAAAAAAAAGTGACAATGTCAAAATTGTTTGAATTATAAAATACTGTATAGATACAATATACAATACACAAATATGCACATTCATATACACATTTATATGAAATTGTCTTCATTTTCATTTTGTATTTGGTTCTCTCCATGGTACCATCAAGTCTGAAAAAGATGTGAGCCTCACAACCCTACACCATTCAATCCACTAAAAACAAAGCACTCACAATCGTAAACTATAGCTTTAAAATTACTACTAACAATTAATTTTTTGGAACAGTGAATGTCTCTCATGAAACTAACATGGTCCTGCATTTTTAACATTGTGACATTGATGCAGACGAGTGAATGTATCACTATCAAGAAGACAAATGCTGTCCTACACTGACGACGACCAATCAAGCAATTGCATGACTGGTAACCCCATTGACGATTGCTGGCGTTGCAACCCTAATTGGCATCTCAACCGCCAACGACTTGCCGACTGTGGCATCGGTTTTGGCCAGCACGCCCTCGGCGGCAAAGGCGGCCGATTTTACGTCGTCACCGACTCCTCTGACCACGATGCCGTTACTCCCCGCCCCGGTACCCTCCGGTATGCCGTCATCCAAGATGAACCCTTATGGATTGTCTTCTCCGCTAACATGCTTATTCGCCTATCTCAGGTATTGAATTGTTGACCACTAACTTATTTAAAAAAATTAAACCGTTAGAGAGAAGATCTTTTTTTTTTTAATAAAAAGTATTTTAATTTGGTCACCAATCTAATTTTCATTAATAGACATTAGAATTAGGAGTAAATGTGTAGCTTTGGAGATTAAAGTGTCATTTTTAAATAATTTTTCATAAATATAGAAACTAACATGTTTTGATAACTAAAAATTTAATTAACCGTTATTTACATTATGATAACACTCGCAGGAACTCATCTTCAACTCCTACAAAACCCTAGATGGCCGCGGCGCCAATGTCCACATCATCGGCGGCGGATGCATCACCCTCCAATACATCACCAACATCATCATCCACAACATCCACATCCACCATTGCTACCAATCTGGCGAAGCCAACGTCCGCTCAAGCCCCACGCACTTCGGGTGGAGAACCATGTCGGACGGGGATGGAATTTCCATTTTCGGGGCACGAGACATATGGATCGATCACTGCTCGCTCTCACACTGCAAGGACGGCCTGATTGATGCCATAATGGGGTCAACAGCGATCACGATATCGAACAATTTTTTCTCACACCATAACGAGGTGATGTTGTTGGGGCACAGCGACGAGTACTTGCCGGACTCAGGAATGCAGGTGACGATAGCGTTTAATCATTTCGGGAAGAAGTTGATACAGAGGATGCCGAGGTGTAGAAGAGGTTATATTCATGTTGTCAACAATGATTTTACACGATGGGAGATGTATGCCATTGGAGGGAGTGGGAATCCTACTATTAATAGCCAGGGAAATCGATACATTGCTCCTGGCAATCCTTTTGCTAAAGAGGTAATTTCCATTTCCACCCCAATCCATGCACTAGTCTCTTTAAATTTGATTGATTTATAATGGAGTTTTGTTAAGAAGAAGCTTAAAATATCATTTTTGCTGACATCAACAATTTTATGAACTAATAAGGTGTAAGGGGCAGAGAATGGAGCATATTAGGAGCAAGTGATTTGGATTCAATGAATTTTTACTCTTCGAGCTTTCAAGTTTTACACTTAGGAGAGTACTGACTAATTACCCTAAATTAATTACATTTGTAAATTTGAATGGAAAACAATATAATGAAACCAAAACACTCACTATTATTTAAAAATATAATCGAGAATAGAAATTATTTTTATTTGGCCAAGTTGTCAAAGTTTGGAGACTGGGAGTATGCTGCCTCCCAAGGTTTTCAGTTTTCAAATATCTTGGTATAAACAATTTATGGGGGTTAAAAAAGAATTTACCACCAAATGATATTACAGAGACATTTTCACATTACTTTGCAATTTTTCCCCCATTGCTTGTATAACAATACTCATGCAATTATCCTTTTTTTTTCTTTTTCCTTTTTTTTATTGTACATCATTTTCTGTATTTATTTGAGGGTGGAATTGCTGTACTATGGTTGAATGGTGGGTGGGGTGAGGTGCTATGAATGTGAACAACTAATGACATTGTTTTAATGGTGGGGGGAATAGGTAACGAAGAGGGTGGAGACAGATGAGGAGAAATGGAGAGAATGGAATTGGAGGAGTGATGGGGATGTTATGGTCAATGGTGCCTACTTTGTTGCCTCTGGTGCTGGTGTTGAGGTCAAGTACGAGAAGGCCTACAGTGTCGAGCCCAAGTCTGCTTCCTTCATCGACCAGATCACCATGAACGCTGGTGTTCTCGGTAGCAGGTCCCCTCTCTCTCTCTCTCTCTCTCATTTCCATTTACTTTCGCTTGTTTTATTACAAAAGAACCGAAAAGATTGTTCACGGATTGGATTGGCCCAATTTATGTAACCAGACAAACCATAGTAAAAACCAGCGTGGTTGAGTTAAATGAAGCTTTGTTAATTTCACAATCATATGAGTGTTTGAGCCTTACTAACTGCTTCTACCCTGGAATCATAACTAAAGCCTTAAAATCGCAAATCAGACCACATCAACATTTTAGAATCATTTATCGGTTCCACTGAATTTTTCGAACAACCCTAGGAACCAGAACCGGCTTCTCTCAAATTGGAAAGAAGTTTGGTTGCGTCTAGTTGGGTTCATTGGCCTTATTACGAGCCTTTTCCCTGATTAGTAATCGTTTGTTTTGTAAATCTCTATTTATAAATTATTCATGAAAAAAAGTTAAATTAATAAGATAATTATAATTATAATTATATAATTTTGTTGAATTTATTTTCATCGAGGATAAATTTATATTTTTTAAAAATGGTTGTCTATATAGTTACATTACTTCTATGTATGTGTAACGCAAGAGTACTCGTTAAATATGAGCAGGAGCAACAAGCTGGGCAAATGGACTGCAGGAAACAGCGGTGGCGGTGGTGATGGGATGATTTTAGAGTCCGGCACTGATGAAGACAACTCTGACAATACGATAAACAGCGATGCACCGCCGCCGCCAGTGGCTGCCCCTAATTCCTTTCTCTTCTCTGTTCTAATGGCCTTGTCATCCTCTCTATTTTTGTATGTCACCACCACATCTGTCATATTGTAATATGAAATCAAAATGATGTGCTTATTATCCTTCATTTTCCAATCTCAACCAACTGATCTCTCTATTAACTGCAATGCCCCAGTTTGCTTTTCTTTTTTCTTCTTCTAACTTGAGTTCTATGCCACTAAACCCTGTTTTCTTATACACAAAACTGCAAACTAGTGTTCAAAACTTTTACAGTCAATCCTAAGTTCGGATAGATATGGTTGTGTTTTAACAGACCTAACAATCAGAATGCGGAAATCCCTATTAAATTCGTACCAACATGAATCCCAACAAGACATGGTTGTGTTTGTCATGACTTTCCTGTGATGATTTTGTTGTGCTTTTTATCACAACAAGACACGAGCAAAGTATATATTATAATCCAATAACTCGAGTTGAAACTGAAGGAAAATGACATTAAAATCACACACCCTAAAACGACATAATTTTACTTTAACTTTTATGCGCTATGTTAAAAGTTAGGTATGTATCTAATTTTTTTTTTCTCCCAAACACATATTAATGTGTACTATTTGGGTGTTGTATTATCACAAGGATCATTAAATAGATCCATTATAGAGAATCTTGTTCGCTCTATTAGCTTTGACAGTAGCAGTCTTTTCTGAGCAACACAATAAATCTTTTCAGAGCAACATATGATCTTTTCCAAAATTTAAAGTTACAAAGCGAAATCACGTAATTCTCATATTAACCAACAATTTGCCAGTAGAATTGCTTAAAATGTGTTTTGTTTGCACCAATTTTTTTATTTTTTTGAACTATTATTTGCACCTATATGATCTCAATATTATATATATAACATATATATAAGCATTTATAGTTGGAGTGTTCACCACTGGAAAGATCCCAAACAGAACTCAAATAGAAGCAAAAGAACATTTGAAGAACAGAACCAATTTATTCAAACATATAATTCTCCAGTTACCAAGAATTTGAACTTTAAGTAGGTTCATAACCCCCAAAAAATATATATTTATATACAAGAAAAGAGGTTTATCTACAGTCACTCTGCTATGCTAGTCTACTAATCATTCCATTAGTGGTTACATACAACTTACAAGTCTCATTCTGTAGCTGTTTGGCAACTTGAAAAACCCGAAGTGCTAACTATTCATAAATGATTTGTTCATAAGGTCGGCAGCTGAATCGATGAACTGCAAACATACAAAACAATTGGCAATTAGGTCAGGAACAATTTAAATAACGTGAGAAGTCTACTGAGAAGTGGAATCCTACCTTTCCAATACCTGTGCATACATTATATATAAAAATTATATTATTTCAATGCTTGAGTGTTGTGGGTGTGGCCATTGGTGTGTGTGTCATTGTGTGGGTTGGCTTTGGTTGGTAGTAGAAACGCCATTTCAAATGAAAAAAAAAAAAAAAAAAAAAAAAAATTGAAAAAGATGACATAAAAGGGTTGATACAATATGAGCTTTCTCAAGTTCTATAACCGATATAATGCTCACAAATCAAAATCTGCTCGTCCACTGTTCTGTAATCTTATTCTTCAAGGCCTACCCTCACACTATGACTCAACAAAATATGAGTCTCAATACGACAACATCATCAACGATATAAGGGATGGTCCATTTTGATCGTTCCTCGCCTAAGAGAACTCATTCCCAACTCAGAGTTTATTGAAGAAATTGGACAGGTCCTAGAGTGTGAAATTAGCTGTCTTTGTATGATCATCATGAATATCTTCTAGTTTCTCTACAGTTGCAATGTGACACAAGTCCCATTTCAGGAATATACATACTCAAAATGGAACAAGTTTGCAATTTGTTAAAAACGTTGGGTCAAATTTGGGATGGAAATAAATGGCAAGACCTAGTGGTGCAAATCGAACTACAATTTTCACTCACATACCTATTTGTACTTTTGCGTTTTTTGCAATTATTTTCATTTATTCCCACTGATTTACAATTTTTCAAAAATAGATAAATAATAAAATAAAATAAAGTGCCACAATAGAGTGTACCTTCTGCATCTGGGAATACAAGTCAATGCATAAGAAATTAAGAAAATACTTCTTTATCTTTGTTGGGACAAAAATTGTAGAAGCTAAAAAATACAGACAATACTTCACAAACTGTTCTCTTGCAGCATATGCTGCCACCACCAGTAACTATTAATGCATTTTAAATAATATTTTCCTGCCGATTTGATAAAAGAAAATCAACTGAAAGAGAAAAAATAAAATGAAATAAAATGAGAGAGCCAAACAGGAATGCAAGCAACAAAGAAGAGAACAACATTTCCATCTATTAATCATGATTATGGCTAGTGATGCACCCCAAAAATCAGTTAAAAACACAATATTCAAAATCCCTCAATCTCCTTGTTTGACAGCGGCCTCCAATCTCTGCCACGTCAATTCCCGCCGCTCTTCTAATTCTTCCACCATGGCCATTTTCTCCATGTACTGATTCTGACACTCCTCAAACAATTCAACATCCATGTCCGAGAACATTTTCCGAACATTCATTGTCAGCCCGTTGACTGCCTGATTCCAGTGAGACTGCACGTTCTTTTCCAAAGCCTCAAAAATTATTGGCAAAATCACACTCCGGTTTTGTGCGATCAAGTTGACAATGTGGTCATTATTCCATAGAAAGAGAGCTCGTTCTGCAATCTGTAACATAAGTCAGGGATAAGAAAAAACTCCAAAAGAGGTGCATTTGCCTTCCCAAGTGTATAATAAAAATGATATAATGACACCAATGTAACTAAAATTTAACAACAATGCAAAAAAAAAAAAAAAAAAAAAAAAAAAAAAAAAAAAAAAAAAAAAACACATCTTCTAAGGTTGTATTTGGAATTATGGATTTCAAATGAATGGATTTAGCATCATTTATTCAAGAAGGCTAGGCATTAATTTGGGGAGCCGCTATTCTCACTCTACTTTGCTCCAAATACACTTCATTCTTGATCCTTATTATACATAGTTACATTAATACCCTTCTTTGTATTTGGAATTATGTATTTCAAATGAATGAATTTAGCATCATTTATTCAAGGAGGCCAAGCATTAATTTAGGGAGTCGCTATTCCCATTCCAATTTACTCCAAATACACTCAATTTTTTGTCCTTATTATACATAATTATATTAATGCCCTTTCACACAAAATACATTGCCTGAAAAAACCAAAATTCCAAGGGTGTTAATGTAACGGCTCCCTTAATTTAAGGAAGTGCATTTGGAGCAAAGTGAAGTTAGAATAATGGCTCCCTAAATTTAATGTAGTATTTTCGATTCATATTTCTAGAATGAATTTGATATATTTAGATTGATGGATGTGAAATAACGTGGTAAATATAGTTATCTGAAATTCTTCCATGAATTAATCTAGTTGTACAATGATTTTAACAAAATACATCTCTCGTATCTCTACTCAAATCATTCACTTTAAAATTATTACTCTACCTCCAATTGTATAAAATTTAACCTCAATTCCTTCCCTTTCAAATCCACCATCCAAATGAAGGTTTAGTATTAATTCCAAAAAAAAAAAACCTCAAACTTCTTTGTCCTCAAAATAGTCCCAAAACTAACAATATTCAAAACTTAATTGTATTATAAATGAGCAGATATAGCCCATAGTAATATATTAAGACCATAGAGCTCTGAAAGAGTATTCAAACAACGTTCTAATGCTAGCAACTGTGATTGATAGAGATTCAGTCACAAACTCACTCTCCCTCAACAAACACTAATCCAATGGTGAACAGAGAGCTGAGACAAACCCCAGGTAATTGGTGATCAAAGTATAATATTTGAAGCAAGATGGTAGGAATTAAAAACAAAAGAAACAAAAACCAAAAACTTTCCCCTAATTGGTGCCATAAAATTCATTTGGAAGACGCAAACCATGGGATGCTTGAGGTTGCAAACCTCTCGCTTGATGAACCCGACATGGTTTGGTGTGTTATTTACAAATAAGTGTACATCCACTAAATTTAGTGATTTTCCGAATCCAACCGCTAGATAAGCACCCGTACCCAAGTCCATGGAACATAGTGTCTAATTTGAGAGACTTGGCTCCTACGCCATCACCCAAACTAACAACTAACTGTTTACATCAGGTATTCAAATTATTCTGCTCGCCAATTAACTGAGTTATTTCCTCAGAAAGGAAGTATATAATTACAAACAAATGAACTCATGGCAATTATTTCTTATTTTAAAGTCCACAGTATCTATCACAAAATATATATAAGGAATGAGCATAAATTGCTGGAGATAAAGTAGTCCCAAAAAAATTCTCTCCACCCATGGTGATTCAAACCCATAACTTATCCTAACAGTAATGTCGCAACACAAACAGGCAATGTGTTCACCCAATGACCCCACCCTATTACCATCCAAAAAGTGACAAGTGGCTAGTAGTTTTTATGAAAAAAAACTTCTATTACAGCTTTCAGAGTGTATCAGAGCATTACTCTATTCTATATTCAGTAAATTTAGTGATTTTCTGAATCCAACCGCTAGATAAGCACCAGTACCCAAGTCCACAGAACATAATGTCTAATTTGAGAGACTTGGCTCCGACGCCATCACCCAAACTAACAACTAACTGTTTACATCAGGTATTCAAATTATTCTGCACACCAATTAACTGAGTTATTTCCTCAGAAAGGAAGTATATAATTACAAACAAATGAGTTCATGACAATTAAAGCTTATTTTAAAGTCTACAGTATCTATCACAAAACATAAATAAGGAATGAGCATAAATTGATGGAGATAAAGTAGTCCCAAAAAAATTCACTCCACCCATGGTGATTCAAACCCATAACTCATCCTAACAGTAATGTTGCAACGCAAACAGGCAATGGGTTCACCCAATTACCCCACCCACCCTATTACCATCCAAAAAATGACAAGTGGCTAGTAGTTTTTATTGCAAAAAACTTCTTTTACCGCTTTCAAAGTGCATCAAAGCATTACTCTATTCTACTCATTGATTTGATATTCCTTGGCCACTAGATAATCATAATCCAACACAGGAGTTCAAAAAAATGCTGCCTACAATCACTTATCCCCAAAATGTGACCTAATCCAGTCCTGAGGAATAACAATGGTCATAAGGTTTGTGAAGAGAGAATGGATCTCTAATGGTTCTCAGATTGATTTAGGTTGAAATAGGTGACCTCCGATGGCTTTAAGATGCCCAAATTGATAAACTACCATAATGAAATTTCAGGACAGTAACGGGGAGAAACAGAGAAAAAAGAACAATTCGAGGAAGATGAAGAAGAATGCACAAAGGGAGATTGTCAAACAATGACCTATTTCCATTAATAATACTCTTCGGCTCCATTTGTTTTGGCGTAAAATGATCTTTTCAAAAATATTTTAGTCATTTTCCGTTGTTTGGTTGAACTAAAAGTAAGTTAACATTTTTTAAGGAAAATATTTTTGCATCATTTTCTCTAAAATGACTTATATTTAAGAATTTTGTAAGTCAATTTTTTCAAAGACGACTCTCACTCACTACCTTTTCAACACATTTAACATTTTTAAATAAGTATCTTACCTCACTAAAAAGTCATAAATGATATTTTATTTAATCAAAATTTCTCTTTTAAGCAATAAAATATTTTTGTTTCAAATGTCAACCACCGAAAAAGAAAAAGAAAAACATTTTTTTTTTTGTGAAAAATCAATTTAAAAGAAAAATATTTTTTGTGTAAAATATTTTACGTAAAAACGAACAGAGCGTTCATACCCAATGAAATTTCAGGACAGTAACGAGGAGAAGCAGAGAAAAAACGAACAATTCGAGGAAGACGAAGAAGAATGCACAAAGGGAGATTGTCAAACAATGACCTGTTTCCATCAATAATACTCATTCATATCCAATGTCAATTCACATGTCTTTTTCCTGGCACATTAAACTTATGTAGGACTATATAATACTGTAAACCAGTAAAAACCTTCTACACAACAACAGTAACCAATATGATACTAAATAGAACAAAAAATTCTGGAAGGAGAAAATGCTGATGTAAATCTCATGGCAAGCCAGTCCAAAAAAAGCAACTTATTTGGCTCAAACTAAGACAGAAATTTAAGAAAATAGAAAATTTTGGGTCCAAGCCCAAAAGAATAAAAACTTCCTAAATGAGAAATTTCCAAAAGAAGATCTCCAAATTTGAAATAGAACTACAATAATGAAAATTCCATTCAAAGATAAAAGTCAACAATAATATATAAGCCAAAAAAATGAATTTGATCCTAAACACTCCATCAAAATGAGCAAATACACTGAATGTGCCAGGAGTCAACAAAATAATGATGTGGAATATAAGAAGTTCAAGGAAGAGTAAATTCAAAGAAGCGGCGATATTTGGAAATTGGAATTGTTTCAAAGAGAAATAGCTAGGAACCATACAGAATCATGTTTCTACTATCATCATAGTTTTATTTTATGATTATTTATATGTTCTAGGATTTTTAGGCGAGGGGTATTTTGATAATTTTATATTTGCCTACATGGGCTGTAGGGGTTGCCCATGGGTTGTCTTGTGAGTCAAGTTATTTAATTAGTCTTTGTTTTTGTTTCTTATTTAGTCTTAAATTAGTTTTGGAAGTTAAAGATATTTTGGTAGTTTCCTATTTTAGTTTTAGTTAGATTAGGAAGTCTCCTAGTCCTATATAAAGCCATGTAATGCTTATAATTCAAGAGAGTTGACATTTTATAAAAAGGTGAGAACTTTGAAACTTCTTTATAGATTGTGTGATGCAATCAAACTCTTGGTGTGATGCCTAAGGAATTCTAGGAGTGATTCTTAGATCTATCTTCTTTTTTTTTTTCTTTTTTTTCTTTTTCCTCCTTAAATTTCAGTACCTTCACAGCCCTAGAACAACCCTTACGGTGCTGTCCCTAATCGTCTTGGATTAGTTTGGTATTGGAGCAAAAGATCCTATTATTAGAGCAAGTAATAAAACATGTCAATTCGTTGTGGAAGATCTTTTGTCGCAGGGATATTTTCTGAGAACCAAAGGGATTAAGTTCTTTCAAAAATTGTGGAATAACTTGATAATTTTAGTCAACGGCTTAATGCTTTGGAGATCCGACCAACTCAAGACGAGGTGATAAACACTCAAATTATCAAGGATAAAGAGAGTTTGATTGATGAATCAAAATCACCCCAAACAGCATCAAGGTTGAAGAAGGTGTTTACTCACAACTCTTTGTGTTCCAAGGTAGAATTAGAGGACCAAGATCAAAATCTTCCCAAGGTGGAAGATGACCAAATTTTCAAGGTTGGTGAGGCCCTTATTCATGATTCAAAAGCGCCCCAACAAGTTCTGATTATTATTCCCAAAGAGGCTAAAGTCCATAGCAATGAATTGGATGCAACAACAATTGTAAGGACTCAAGAACTAAAGCCACCAACTACAAGTCCTGAGCCAAAAGGGCCTTCAAAGCCGGAGGTTGAAAAGTTGCTATTAGAATTCTCTAATTTAGTGCCAATACAGTCCTATGATGAGCCCTCACCCATGCATAACATCAAGCATACTTCAAGTCATATACAAGAAGAGTCTAAATTGCTTAACCTTGCAACATATGAATCAAATTTAAATCAATATACCATGTCCCACTCGGTGACAAGTCATGATTCCA